GGAGGAGGAGGAGGAGGATGCGGGCGGGCGGCGGGGCGGCGCGGGGGGCGCTGGCCGTGGCGCTGCTCCGCCGCTGCCTGCTACTGGGCCCCCTGGGGATGCGGCCGGCCGGCGGACAGGAGGGTGAGTGCGGGTTGCGGGGTACCGGCGGCGGCGGGGGATCCCGCACCGGGAGTGCCACTCGTACCGGCACCCCTCGGGGATAAAGTTTTAGCGACGGGATGAGCTGTGCGACGCGCCCGGGACGGGGACTTGGTCCGGGATGGGGATCGGGACCGGGCGGGGGCCGGACAGACTCCCCCCTGCCCCGGTACCGGTGCGGGACGGGCTCATCGCTGTGTCCGCACCGAGATCGGAGCAGGGTGGGCTCTCCGGTACCGGGATGCGATTCCTGCTGTTCCCGGACCGGTGTTCCCGCCGTCCGTCCGCCCCGGTACCGATTCGGGACACGGTCTCCGCTGTCCCCAGACCGGGATCACAGCGGGACGGGGTCCCCGCTGCTTCCCTGCCCCGGTACCGATCCGGGACGGGGTTCCCGCTGCCCCTCTGCTCCGGTACCGATGCGGGACGGGGTCCCCGCTGTCCCCCTGCCCCGGTACCGATGCGGGACGGGGTCCCCGCTGCCCCCCTGCCCCGGTACCGATGCGGGACGGGGTCCCCGCTGCCCCCCTGCCCCGGTACCGATGCGGGACGGGGTCCCCGCTGCCCCCCTGCTCCGGTACCGATGCGGGACGGTGTCCCCGCTGCCCCCCTGCTCCGGTACCAGACGGGACAGGCTCCCCGCTGCCTCCTCCACCCCGCGTTACCCCGGTCACGCACCCCCCTGCTCTCCCCGCAGCCCCCTCCCCGTGTCCCATCCCGCTCCCGGTGCCGGGATTCCCGGGGTCGGCTCCGCAGGGTTTTCCCCGGGAATCCCTAATCCCGTCCCGGTTTAAGAGGATCGGCGGAGCTTACGGAGAGCAGGCTCCATCCCGGGGGCGCTGCGGGGAATCCGGGGCGGGGGGGGGGATTCAGACCCACCGGGGAGCGGGAAAGCCCCCCCGGGGACGTTCAACCAAACCTTGTCCCCCAAGACGTGCTTTTCCCCGGTGCCGTTTGTCCCGGGGATGGGACACCCCCGAGCATTGTCACCGGTGAGGGGGAAACTGAGGCACGGGGAGGGGGGGGACCACAGGAGCGATTTGGGAGATGTCCCACAGATTCCACCGGATCCCAAAGCCCCGGGGCGGGGGGGGGACACGGACCCGGGGCAGCTCTCCCGGGGCTGGCGGCGTGCCGGGGGCAGGAATCGTGCCGGATTTTTCCCGGAGCATCGCCCTGTTGTGTCTTTCCTGCATCCTGTGAGAAACCAAACAACTCTCCGGCGGGGATGGCCCCAGGGGGGGCCGCGGCTTCTCTTCGTCCTCACCCAGCGGAAATCCACTTTTCCCAATTTTTTTTTTCTCTTTTTTTGGCAAATTTAGTGTTCCGTGCGCATCCCGATGACTCCGACCTTCCCTGTTGGAAAGTCCCCCCAAATTTTGCTCTCCTCAGCACAGCAGACTTTCCGGGAGCTGCTTTCCCCCTGCCCTTGACCCCATCCAGCCTGTCCCCTGTCCATGTCCCCCCCCCAGCTCATCCTTCCCAGCTCTGCCATAACGGGGGCCACTTTTCCCTCCCACGGGGGGAAAATCTGGGATTTCACCCCAGTCCCAGGGGTCATTCACAGAATAACCCCCCCCCAAGTTTGGCTGCTGGCCCTTCCCACAGTCTGGACAGGAGTGGGCTCCGTGGGATGAGGCCGGGGGGGGGGACTGGCATCTTTCCCCCCCTCCCCCTTTTTTTTTTTTTTAATCCCAGCAGGATTTTCCCCTGCCAGTGCTTTGTGCCGTCTCCGGGCGACGGCGAGGGGAGCCAAGGCAGGGGTGAAGCCGTGCCCACCCCGTGGCTTTTCTTTCCGGGAGGATGTTTGGCAGGAGCTGCAGCTTTTTGGGGAATGCAGTGGGGGGGGGGAGAAAGAACGATGGACCCCCCCCTCCCCAGCCCACGCGGAGGGACTGAGTGATGCTTCCCCACCCCAATCCTGCCCCCGGTTCCGCCACAAATCCCCACCAGACACTTTCAACTCAACTTTCCAGGATATTCCCTCTTGCCCGGGGGCGGCCAGCTCGGAGAAAAGCCCCTTTTTGTGGTTGGATGCAGCTGCCCAAGGTCATCCTCAAGGTCAAGGCTGCAGCTGGGGGTTCCCGGGGGGTTGCTTGGGGCTGTGGGGGCAGTTATTTTCCCCCTTGCATCCTTTTAGAGCCCCTAAAATTGGGGTTCTCCCCAGCCTGGGGGATGGAGAGGAGCTGGGGGTGCAGGTCTGCGCTGGGTGGCTCTGGGGGAAACTGAGGCAGCTTCATCCCTGGATCCCCCCCCCACGGTCCGTCCTCGATGTTGGGGGGGAAGCAGCCAGAAAAGCCAACCAAAAAAGCGGTTTCTAAGCAAGAAAACATTAGAAGGGGCTGCAGGTGGCCCCCCAGGGCCATGCCAAGGGGGGAAACTGAGGCAGGGAGCACCCTGGCTGAGTGTGGTGTGTGTGTCCCCCCTCCCAACCCTTTCATCTCTCCACAGGGGATGGCTGTGGGCACACGCTGCTGACACCCCACAGTGGCACCCTCAGCTCCAAGAACTACCCGGGCACCTACCCCAACCACACAACCTGCCGCTGGCGGCTGCGCACCCCCCCGGGCACCTCCCTCCTCCTGGTTTTTGGGGACATAGACCTGGAACCCTCCGAGCACTGCGCCCACAGCTCCTTGCTGCTCGCCGACCCCCAGGCTGGCACCACTTACGGTAAGAAGTGGGGGGGATCCCCCCGGGGAAACTGAGGCAGCGGCTGCGGATGGGGCTGGGGGGGGTGATATCACTTTAGGTGAAGTCCTGGGTGAGGAGAAGGTCAGGAAAATCTGGGTTTTTAGCTGATTGCCTCATGGGAGAGGGGAGTATTCGAGGAGGGGAGTATCCAAGGATGGGGGTATCTAAAAAAAGGGGTACCCAAGGATGGGGGTACTCAAGGAAGGAGGTATCTAAGGACAGGGAGATCTAAGGAAGGGGGTACCCAAGGATGGGGGTACCCAAGGAGGAGGATATCTAAGGAGGGGGTTACTGAAAGATGGGGGTAGCCAAGGAGGGTGGTACTCGAGGACAGGGGTATTCAATGAGGGGGATATCTGAGGAGGGGGATATTTGAGGAGGGGAATAGCAAAGGAGGGGGGTACCCAAGGAAGGGGGTACCC